CTTTCGCCAGGAGATTTGTGGCAGTCTCGTTTCACAGGAGAACACAACTGAGAAAGATAGAACGGCAAAAGTGAGAAGAGACGAAGACACGCTCTCAACGCCTACAATAATTTGTTTCGCGACGATAAACGCCCGCTGATGGTTCCACAGGTACATATAGCGTGTGTGAAGTTAGCACCCCGACATTAAAATTTCATAGTTCTGCTGAGAATTTCCGTTTTATTTTTATATGAAGAGACTCTCTAAGAGTGTTTTATATAATATTTATAAAAATAGGATAATCCATATTTGAAGATGTTATGAATTGTCTAAGTTAAGGGATAAATTTTTGCTCAGAATTTCATTAGGATAAGTCATTTTAACAAAATGGCTTTAAGATGAGCGAAAAATATCATATAAAAAAATAATTTTGACCAGAAAGTATAATAATTACAGTTTTTTTTTCATATAATTACTATATTAATATTAATTATTTTTGGTGTGTGTTCCTAGCGTGAGAAATTTGAATGTTGACGCAATATTGATACAAAAAGTCGTGATTTCTCGTTAGTCGATAGTCGCATAGCTCGCGATGCGGCGTCTACAGCTAAAAACTGAAAGCATGTATCTTCTCGATGAACAAAACCTCCTCCACCTGCGTGAAGTTTGTACTTTCAATCTGGCAGTGGCAAGAATTTGGCACAGACTATATGCACTTCGGGGTGCATTACGCGAAGAGTGTACACGAGAGCGAGCGTAGGCCGCATCGTTGAGTATTACTGTCGTTTTGGCAGCACGTGTAATTTCCGTGATTTACTGTAGTGAACGCTTTAGCGCATTTGTGATTCAGTAAACTCTCACAAAGCTCGCGCGTGAAAAAGCGCGATAAACAGAATAACGATCGGAATGCGAGAAAGTTTCCAAGAATTTCGTTACTTTTTAATGGAAATGTCTGTATATTGTAGGAACTAGAATATTCAATTGTATTATGAATATTATATTGTATTATAAAGTATTATTAACTTTTACATTATAGAGTGTGTTGTGCGTTTTGTGTTTACGCGAGAGAGTTGGGTATCGTAAAATTTCCAAACTGTAATAAATAAAATATGATATGACAGTTTTTAACATCATGTTTCCACATTGATCGCTATAACTTTTAAAATAACAAACAGATGACAAGAAACGAGCGATTGAGATAACTAACTCGAATACCGTCGAATATTTATCAATTGTTGTTTAATATATGTCTTAGACCTTAATTAAACTTAAAATTAAAAAACAGATTTATTTTTATATTTATGAACTCAACTGCAATACTTATAATCTTCCTTATAATTGTAAATATTTAAATGAAATTCTCGCGGCATTCTCTTGTTCACGATTTGGTCACATTTGTAAACAGATTTATATTTTTATAATAAAAAAAAAAATATCGATATTTTGTGTTACCTACTTTATAAAATTTAGATAATGATTTTCACGCGCGAGATATTCGTTTTCGCACATTTTGCTTTGATTTTCTCGCTTTTGATGCCATCAGCTAAGTTGGCTGAATCGGAAAATATCAACGATGCGCATCGAGAGAGCAAAAGACGAGCGTCACAAAAGCGCTGACAAAACGTTTAGGTAAGAAAACGAATTCCGTTTGCAATGTAAATCTGATCGAAATGTTCTACGAAGCGGATCCACCCCCGCGCGACGTTGTTGTTTTAGCAACAATTTTCTCGCGGGTCGACACATCGCTCTTCCGTCGACTGACGCTTTGTCGACTGTCCCCAAAGTTGTTGCGCAACAGACGCAACGAATAAATAATCGGTCGTTTGTGCCAAGAAACGAGGAACAATTTGTTGCATATTTGATTTGTTCCCAATCCCCTTGTTACTGAACAGAATCAAGTGCAAAAAATCTCTCGCAAAAATAAGATATCTTATAACAAACAGATGTTGTTTCTTGTCGGCGCCTAATAAATGTGTGCCAATAATCACATACACACGTCTAATCGGCGTGTCTGCGTGATCTATTCACAACTTGAACGTCGCGAAGATATCTTGTACATGTTGTGTGACACCTTAAGATTTCAGCAATATGTACATTTATAAAAATAAAAGTATAACTTTTATTTCTCCTAAATTACAAAATGATTAAGAAATTGTGAAGCGTATAGATATATTATTCACTCACGTATTTTTTGTTTGCAGATGCAAACGCGGCTGTGATTAGATTCATAAATAAGTCGGTTTAACTAGGTACTGTGTGTATCAATCTCAAGAATCTCACTCGAAATTGTATATTTCTAGAGATGTTTTGACACGTAGAATTGTTACTGACATTTTGACGAGATGAAACAAATACGTGCAAAACAGTGTAATCACTCTTCTAATTTACTTCCAATAAAACAAAACAAAAACAATTTTTTACTCCCACGGCGTTTGTACATCTACGTAATTCGTTCGTAAATGATTTTTGATGCGAACAACGCGGTTTGCATGTTAAATATCGCGAAAAAAATAAGAGACATCAATACGTTTTCAGACACGAGAACTAATTCTAAAAGCGCCAAAAGAGATGCAGCAGTCTGTCTTTCCAGCTGCTTGGAACCACGTGTGTGGTCTCAACGAAGCACGTGTCGCTCGCGAACGCAACTTTTTCTCGCGCGCGCGAGACGCACTGCTCGCTTTTATGCGCATAATCCGAAATTCCAGAGCCAGCCGGAATTCGTCTTGAAATTAACGGAATTCGTGCTGCAAACTCAGTAAGAAATGATCGGAATTATCGCGAAATTCAATCGTCTCGTCTCGAGAATCGATTTCTACTCATCATCGGGGTCTCGTTTCTCGTTCGATGAAAATTCTCACAACAAAAAAAAACAAAATATTTATAAAATATTGAATAGTATATTCTACATCTCATCTATCTTAGCATTATATATATATATATATACTGCCGTCCTTAGTTAAAATGTCCTGTCTCGTATTTTTGTATTTTTTAAGATACATATCAAGTATTGGAAGTTCTACACATGTTCCATCTTCTAAATGAAGCTAGAAAGCCCTAAAAGCTTTATAGATGTCTAGAAAGTGTTTAACTTAGTTGTCTTAACTGCTGATATATGGCACAAACAAAAGAATAAAACATCAGTTTTTTTATTCTTCCGATATGCTAGATAAGATATTTTAGCTAAGGAGGAGAGGGGCAGTATATATATATATATAAATTTGTTTCTGTTTTTCCTTCTTTTTTTTGCGTGTTATTCTTCATTATATTGTGCAAGATTAAACTAGACAATAGCATGACATAAATATCATATTTTGGCGTATATTCCGCGATACAAAAATAACACGTATGGCACGATTGTATTCACGTCATGTGTGACATTTTCACTATCGTAACATATTTTGAAATAAATGATGACAAGTGCCATTCTAAATTGCAAAATTCTCGAATTTAAGATTTTTCTTAACCAGTTTCTTAAAACTAACTTCAAGTTATTCTTTATAAAATATATTTTTGTGTATCAGATGCATTGGCTGAGTTCAGCAGAACTTAGCTTGGTAAGCGCTTTGTGTGCTTATTGTCTGTGATAAAGCTATTCTTCTGGATCTATTGCAAATGTAAAAGCACATATCAATCACAGACAATAAACATAAAGCGCTTACTAAGCGATGAATTGAGAACGTAGCCAAGTTGTGAGATAGTAGATTTGAAAATCAATTAAAAATTATACACTGTGTGTATTACTTGTACAAATGCAATAATACTAAGAAAAAAAAATTTGTGTGTTTAAGTTTATTTATATTATCAGATAATCTCATAAACCGCATGATGTCACAATAACACGCTGCAACTGTTATCGCTAATGCCATTGATAATTGAGATAAAATCAAATGTCGCAAACACACAACGCGATCGCTAACTACGCCGCATTACGGTTGCTAGACCAATCGTGGTTTTTATTTTTTTTTTTTTTTGGGTTTTTTTTAACTAACCGAGCTTAATTACGCGTATTGTTGCACGAAAGCAACAGCAAGATGTAAATAAATAAGAAACACGTTCTCTAGCAGAAACGCACCTTATATCTGACAATTTTCTCGTGGCGACATCGCACGGTACACCGGTAATTCACTATGGACGCACATTCCACCGACAATCTCTCGCATAATGCGAGAGATTGAAAATCCGAAATGCGGTAAACATTAGAGCGAGCGGTTAGTTAAAAAATCATAAATTTTTTCGCGACTTTACAAAATTTCAACAGACGATCTTACGTATACAAAATAATTTATTTACGGTAACGCGTATCCCGCCGCGTGACATAATTGAAACGCGCGTGTTCCGGGTTCATCCAAACCGTGAGGTTCATTGCACCTGTCAATTGCTCGTCGATCTCGTTTGCGTGAGAGCAATAAGACAAACAAGTTGACGGCATCGGTTGACGCCGCCGAGCGACGATACACGACGCGCTGTTGTAAATAAATGCAAAAAAAGAAGTGCGTGGGAACGAGCAGGGTGTGAGATGTTTCGCTCGCGGTGCAACGAGACGTAAAGTGCAACTAAAATGACTGTTAATTCGACTGGATTCGATCACTCACCGACTCATCGAAGTCTGCCAGAATCTGCCGCGTGTGCAGCGGTCGGATGCGCTCCCCTCGCTTGTCGCAGGATCTGCGAAAACACGGAACGATTCACTTGTCACTAATTAAAGATATCGCGACGGCGGCCATACTGATGTGGCGCCACGCGACTCGCGCCCGTCTCGCAAGATGGCGGCGCTTCATTCGACGTATCGACAGATAACATGCAATAATTGCAACTTTAGATTTAATATTTAAATCCCGTTCAAATGGCGATTCAAGTTGCGTATAAGCTAAGAAGTAAATTTGACAAAAAAAACTTCAGCATTTTTAAGTAAAAAAGCAAAACTAATACGCTTGAACAGTAATTTAAATTAATTTGTAGATAAAGATGTGTTGCGATAGTATCGACAAGAATTGTCAAGTTTTAATCGTATCCATTGTTGTCGTATGCGGCGCGCAGAGCGGGAGTAACAGCTGTATCTCGTTTTTTTCTAACCTTAAACGCGGTCAAAGATAAGATCCGTTTAATTTTTCTCTTTAAATCAGTGACATTTTTCGATTTCTTGTTACTTGTGCTGTGGTGATCACGCTGTGGTGATTGAATTACGCATTGAGAATCAGATCAGGTTGCTGCGTTAGCAATGGTAAAGATAAACACACGTTGGAAGACCGCTGAGGACTTCAATCTTTTGCGAGGGACTGGTGTTGGTAAGCTGCGGATCAAAGTTGTTAGAAAATACACGTGGAAATAATTATTGCGAGTAAACGTTTGCTTGCCGTTTTGATTTCAGCAACAAAGGTTAAATATTTCTGGCGCAAAGGATGGCAGGAGATACCAGTAATAATGGGAGGTTCCTTTATATTATTGCTCGGACTTGGCATGACCGCATTCGGAGCAACTTACTGTTACATGCACGATATGACTCCGAAATATTACATTAACATACCGAGAAGTGAGTAATGCAATTAACGGTTTATATATTTTTGGATTATAAAAATAAAATTCTACATTTATGATTGTGTGGGTTATGCAATCGTGAACAATTGTCGATAAAACAGAATCGTTGATAAATGTATTATCTAATGTAATGTCTTAGATAATTGCGATAATTTTTTATTGATATATTTTAGTTTACAGACCGGATGATCCGCGAGCTCAGAAGATCCGTCACACTTCGGTGTTTGATTACTAATTCGTGTTTTATCATTTAATAGCGATATGTGAAATGGTATACACATTGTTATATATTATACTTCCTATTGTAGAAACATTATATTAAAAAATAAATGTTTAACTTATTATTAGTAATCAATTCTCTTTTCTTCTGTGTAAATTACCGGTTCTATTTTTTTTTAATCAAAAATTGTATATATAATACAATATAAATTAAATTTATATAACATAACATATATATGTATGTATATATATATATGTATATATATGTGCACACACATGTATATACATTTACTTTACACAGAATTATTTGACATATTTTTTTAAATTTCTAAAGCTAATACAATAGATGTATAAAAAACTTGCCAGAGCACATATCCGATAAAAATCTTAAGACATGATCAATAAAACATTCTTTAAAAGCTTTTTTTTTGAACGACTTTAAAGTTTTTACGCTTTATTATATCGTCAACGTTTTATTTTCGGAGCTTCGTGAATGACCCGTTGAAAAGTTTTCTTTTTCCTGTCGCGCCGAGTCATTCTCTCGTTCTCTCTCGGTATTTTATTCCCGTTTTGTAGCTCTAAATTTCTGGTCCGACGATGTTTTCTTCGACAAGGGTGAGCCCAACGCCTGGCGTGCCAGAAGATTGCGGAGCAAAAAACGAAGACTTCTCACCTCGTATCGTATAATTCCGGCTTATTCCGGGTATCTCTCCCTTGATGTTCTTTGTTCACACCACACATCGTCATTTGTCGAAAAACAAAAATGTTCAACCTCGATAACTTTCTCACTTAAAGTTATTATCACATTTTGCTTAAAATCGATACGTCAAAAATACAAATATATTATTAGACTTTTACACAATAATTATAAACATTCAATAATTATATAAATAACTTGCCTTACGTGCAAAAAAGATTAATATAAATGTTTAAGCAAAGATTTTTAGAAGCTTACGGAAAGAAGCTTGTGCGAGGGTTGAAGGGCCGTAAATATTTATTTTGTTTTTTATTTTTTCTGACTGTAAGCTACAGAAGAAAGATGTTCCATTTATGCTTTAGACAGACGGACGGTGATATACGATATCACGTTGTTGAAGAATCCCTATCTTAATCGCGCACCCATTATAAAGACCTAAATCTCGCCGATAACTTTTTCACGCGAGAGAGAAAAAGAAAGAGATGGACTGTGATACTGGCTGCGAGTCAAGGCGCAGGATCGAAGGATCGCACCGGCCGATGGTGTTGCGTTGCGTGTATATACTATTATAACCTCCGGCGGGGGTGGACGACGGCGTAGCGTAGAGTTGTACGCGCAGGGTGGTGAGAGAGAATGTGCGCGCGAGAGGGAAAGCAAAAGGGAAGGAGGGATGAGCGAGGATGAGAGAGAACGAGAGAGCCGATCGAGAGGGTGAGAGAGCAGCAGGAGGGGACCGGAGCACACGGTACGGAGCACCTCTCGTTGCCTCGCCAGTGGTTCAGTCAGCGCTTCGTACCGGCGTCGCCTCGCTTCGTCCTTGCTCCTTGCTTGAGATACCCCTCGTGCACATCGTCGTGTGCCCCTCAGTCGTCTCACGAAATCAATGAGCTCACGACGTATTGGCAGACACATCCGGACCTCGATCGAGTAAAACTGCGGTTATAAAGCCGTTGTATATAACATCGCACGAAAGGGTTACCGAGAGTAAGAGGCCGATACACATCGACAATCGAGCGTGTCGGGCTGCCACTTGTCGCTGCGGCTAAGTAACAGAAAGAGAGAAGACAAGAGAAAGGCAGAGTGCATCGCGACGTGTAACAAGAAGTGACAGAGAGTAGAACGAGATCGAAAGGAAGAATCGCGAGGACCTGTACGGGTCCTAAACGCTCAGGACGGTGCATGTCTCGGACCCCGCTTTTCAGCTTTTCTTCCAGCAACGCTTTGTCCACTTTCCTGAGGTGAGTCATATACTTAAACATTCAGATATATTTGTAAGGTAAAATATGTATATGTATACGTAATGAGATCCTTTGCTTTCTGTTACATTCTTATATACGTGTAAATTTCCTGTCGTAATAGAATTTATTTTGCGCTTCTGTGTGTTTAAGTAATTTTGATAAGAAAAGTTCTTCCGAGTCGGTCGATATCCATAAGATTACAAGGTACTTTTCGTATAACTTTAATATTTCAGTATTTGCGAATTCACTTATCGATCATTTCTTATTTTACCATAAATATTTTTATAAATGAAATGAGTTGATTAAACAAGGATCAAGAAAAGAAAGAGAAGAGGTGAGAGATTAAGAAAGAAAAAAAGTAAATAATAAGTGTTTTATGCAATATTGAAAAATTAAAGTAATATTTATTTTGCTCTAGTTAGTACTTTCAAGATAAGAAAAGTAAAACGACCGTAGAAGCGAGAATTTTAAAAACATCCTATCTATAATAAAAGAGAGAAAGAACGATTCTTTAAGCTCGACTGCTTTGTTTCACAATTTCATTTTGAAGTATGTTTTTATGTTGCAATTAATCTCTCTTGATTATTGACAGGTGTGATTGAAAACGATCGTACATGTATTAAACGACCGAGTTTTAATATTCCTTCGTGTGTCACATATCCGTTCTATGATATATTGGCTATTGAAAACGTCTTAAAGGAGAGTCCTTCAGTCCGAGATTTGATCTCGTATTTACTCAATGTGTTCTGTCAGTCCTCTCAGTAGTTCTTTTTTGTGCCTTTTTATGCTTTTCGATCCTTTTTGCGTGATGTTTTAACCTTATTTATGCCCCCCAAAAAAACGGAGCTCTTAGTTTTGAAATTACATATCTCCAATTCTGTGTGAGAGTTACCTCAATTTAATATAAAACAAATTAAATACAAGTAATTTTCTAAATATTGTTCTGTTATTATTTTTATGTTTGAATAATTTTAGTCGTTTGTTGAATTGGCTTCTTCGTAAGTTCTTTTAGAGTGTTCTAAATTTTTTATTTATATTTTATATTTTTTCAGTGATCACTACTGTGTCTTTTAAAAGAAAAGAACATTAGAGTCAGCAACTTACTTATCAATATAGATAGATAGATAACGAAGAGCTGGGAGCTTGTGAGACCCTATTGTCACCTAGATCTTATTTACTTATCAATAAGCTGTCATACATAATTTATCCTCGTTGCGATAAACTTCGAATATGTTTCCATTTAAAATTTGTAAAGTTAAAATAACAGAGAATACAAAAAAAACTAACTAGTTAGAAAAAACTAACTAGTTAAAAAAAGAAGACGATATATATATATATATAGTTAGTTATATGTATTGTGTTACAAATTCTGTAGAAAACAACCTGACAGAACTAAAAGAGATAAATGGTTTTCTATAAAACTATTTGTTTGAAATCATAATTTTGTGAAATTCACATCGTGTAAACTCGATTTTAATAAAACAGAAAGACGCGTCTACTGTGTGATCGATCGAACACAGAGATTTTCCGTTAAGCAAAAGAAATGATACTTAAAACCCTACGTACACATTTTCCGCTACTAACATTGCAAAGTCCGCATACGTATACGCTGCACAGCGCGACATTTTTTTTATTGATAAGAAAAACGCGCTGCTTTGAGGAAGCAATTAATAATTATGCGTCTATGTAGCACATATTTTATTGATTTGCCATAGGTCATACGTACATACACGCACAAACACATACACACACACTTCATGATAAGCTATTACGACACGTGCTCCTATCTAAAAAAAAATGCGACATTTTGTCGCAAAAAGACGCGAAGCATTGCCGCGCTGGAATAAATCAAAAAGAGACTTATACTTTTTTCGATAATCGATACATATTACGTATCAGTGTTGTGGATGCAACCGTATATGTAAGTTAAAAACATTTTTTATACATAAAATTCGCAATCGTGCACTTTTCCTCAGTTTGTATTATATGTTTTCTCTCAAATATTAATCAAAATTCCAGCGATTCATCTTTGACGATTCAAAATTGGCACAAACAAGCTTATCTTGTCAGATCATATTGCTATATTATAAATGTATTCTCATTTTTTTATCATTTGTTGTTACATTGTTTACCGCGCGTTCATCTCCAGACTTGTGTAATATCTCATTTACACTATAGCACGACGCTTATACGGTTGATCGTACTCGTTATTCACGAACAAACGTAAAGCCCAAGTTCACTAAAGCCTCGTAAACTCGGCCTGGACTTGAGCCAAATCGAAGTGCCATAGCACCGTCGTCGTGCACATAACTATATGCGGCCGAAACAGCTGTTAACCCGACTTGTTGCACAAGTCAACAGACGTAACTCCACGCTGCAACTGGTGAACTCCGCGAACACGAAACCGAAACACGTAACCGAATTTCTTTATTGAGCAATTATCGCGACCTATAGGTTATTGCGGTCACAAATTTCCGGGTTTACAGGTGAAATGACTGACGGCCGTGAGTTTATTGAATTATTCATTATATGTCATTTTATTAATATATTAATTACAGTAAGATAATAAAACGAACATGCGTTAATTAGAACGTTATATTATTTCGCGCAGAATTTAATTATATACATATTATTAAAATAGCCATGATAAAATAAAGCAACATCGCATAAATATACGATGTAATATATTTTGAAAAACTTGTTAACGCGTTTTTTTTATTTTTTATTTTATTTTATTTATTGAAATATGAGATTTTTCCAATACGTTCAAGATAATTGACTCAACACACACACACATACACAAAAATATAAATATGTAAATATGTTGCTTTATCGATTTATTTTCTTAAGTGTAGCATCGATTAGTTTTTCCCAAAACAGATTTGGACGGAATGAAATATCACGGGAAAGAAGATTTGACGGAAAAGAAAAAGCTAAAAAAGCAAAGATATATTATTTTTGAAATCCGTTCGATTTCTCGTCCCAATAACCGAATTTATCGCACTTGCGGCGGATAGAGGTCGTGGAGAAAACTCTAGCTATTTCAGGAAGTAGGCTACGTGAAGATAATCTGCAACGCTCGCGAACGTATTCACACGATTATACCAACCACGTCGCGACTCTGACGAGTTTTAGAGTATTACGATTGAGAAAACGCGGAGCGACGAAATTTTCTTCCGGTTTTTAGGGAAAAGGAGAGAACCATTTGCAAAGAAAACTATTTGCGATAAAAAAAAGCAGACATTTCCGCATCAGTAATCCGCGTTGTCAAATTTCTTGCGGTACGTTGAGCATCGCGAGAGTTTCTGTGAAATGCGCTTTTGTCCATGCTTCCAATGGCACCGTAACTACGAAGCGCGCGAGAGTTTTCGGTTCAAATAACAATCACTCGATAGGCCACTCTCTCTCTCTCTCTCTCTCTCTCTCTCTTTCTCGTCTACTATACGTTATACATATCGCGAGAAGATAAATTCGGATATGACATGCAACATAAGTCTGTAAAAGTACGTAAAAAGATATTTGGGCGCCGAATATAACGGAGCTTTTTTTAATTTAACGCAGTTTATTTTTCATTGTATATTAGTTATCGAATTTGCAGTCGATATTTCTTTTCCAGGAAAATTCTACCGCTTCTTAATATTCAATATTAAATATCTCGCTACCTAGAATTAAAATTCTCCAAGAAGCGAAGTTGACTCGAGTTTAGATGGACAATGAAGTTTTGTTATTCAATTTCTCCTCGAAAGCTTAGTTCTTGGACGGTCTCTCTTCTTTACTTTCAAGTGCGCTTGTACCCTCAAAGATTGTCAATGTCGCGGCTTTTTATTGAGAAACAAGATTGATTACATATTAGAAAAAGTATCTGTCACTGAAATTAAGTCCCGAGAGATTCAGATTTTCAGAAGTTAAAAATTTTTAGTAAAAGTACATCACAACGTTACATCCGACAGACTGATTACAATCGATTAGCGAATCATTGAAAATTGATATATGATTTTTTGTGTGGTTCTTTTTACCGTTCCGTCTCTCACAAGTGTGCGATATGAGAGAAACGAGCGTGTGTGAAATAAACATGGAGAGCACTCGTGCGGCGGGTGTGGTTGTTTAATCACAATTGTCGATCAATAGAGACAATCAAGCTCTTAATTATCCGGATGTGACCTGTTGATGGTTGAAATTCGGCACCGAGCTTTTCGTTGATTAGCCTTGCCGCGTAAAAGCTTACTAACTTGAACGCCGCGCGGTCTGAAAATAAACCCGCGTCTCATCCCGGCGTCGTTTCCTCTAAACTATATCTTCATCTGCCTCTCCCCCCGCTTGGCGTATTATACCGAATACACGAATATGCTCCGGTATATCGAAACTAACGCGAAATCTCGCGTATTCCGCTTGTGTGCGCAAGAAAATACATTCTGTGTATTTTTGCAACACAGAAATCCGCAGGAGTAACGACTTATGCAAGTGTTCTCAGTTATCCGCCCACGATTTCTTTCATTTCTCTCTTTTTCTAGAGACGATATCGTTTCGGTGAAAATTTAATCAGACATAATTTAATCTCGCTTTTCGTTTCGGTTTTAAAGTCTACTGTAATTAACTTTTATTTAAAAGTGGCTGAATAACAGCGTATTGTGTTCTTATTTCACGAGACGTTCTGGAGTTTTATATCTTGAATTAATTTTTATTTTCAGAATTTTTATATAGATTGAGAAATAAAGTTCTCTAGATGATTATTTAAATTTTTTAATACGTTTGTATCGATGCTTTATAATATTTCTTTTGCGCTCGTTTGCTTTTTCAAACTTGTTCAAAAAGTTTGGCTATATAGAAATGAGAGAACACCCAGTATGCGTTATGTATGCGCGAGTGTGTTAACAAAGTTACTCCCGGCACGTTAACGCGCAAGCCTTTCTTCACTCATCACGACTGACGTTGACAGACTCGTCTCTCTATAATCGTTCATAAAAACCTGTGAATTGCTCACACAGTTTTCGCTGTAGAGC